CCCCTAATGGGGAGGAGAAAAAAAGCTCCAGATTGGAGGAACGCGACCAGGAGCAGTAGCCCCTGCCCGACACCAGCCAGCCGGGCACCAGCAAGAAGCCGGGCGACGGGGCCCCCCGGGGGGGGGAGTGCCCCTGAGCCTTTGCTGAGTGCGGGCCACGGAGCCGAGGCCGGGGGCTGCTTCCTGGGCAGCGCCAACCCCTGCAGCAGGCTGAAGCAGCACAGGAGCCCGCGGAGAACAAAGGAGTGCCACAGGCCAACCTGCTGAGCTTCCAGGACAAGGAGGAAGAAACCGAAGAAGTTTTCAATGTGAAGAAATCAAGTGAGAGCAAAAGATAGTAAAATTACTTAAGAAAGAATACAAAGAAGATCTTGAAAAATCGAAGACTAAGTCAGAACTCAACTCAGCAGCCAACATTGCAACATAAATGCGTTAAAAAAAAAAAAAGGACAGAATGTTGGAACAGCGGCGGCCACGACTAGAGTGGCCAGGCACAAGGCAGTGGCAGCTGGGCCTGGAGCAGCAACAGCCAGGCCCCAGAGCAGCAGCAATAAGAACCAGAGCAGCAACAGCCAGGCCTGGAGCAGCCAGACCTGGGGCAGTGGCAGCCAGGCCTGAGGCGGAGGCGGCCAAGCCCAGGGTGGGCAGTCCAGAAATACCCAGGCCCGGAGTGGCCGGGCCTGGAGAAGCCGGGCCCAGAGCAGCCAGACCCAGAACATCAGCAGCCAAGCCCGGAGTGTCCAGGCCGGCAGCTGCCAGGCTCGGAGCAGCAGCAACCATGCTTGAAGCAGCCAGGTCGGGAGCGGCCAGGCCCGGAGCAGCAGCAGCCACGCCCGGAGCAGCCAGGTCTGGAGCAGCAGTGGCCAGATCTGAAGCAGCTGGTTGTGGAACGGACCAGAGCAACAGAGGCCAGGCCTGTAGCAGCCAGGCCCGGAATAGCTCGCTCCTCGCCTGCCTCTGCCCCAAGGCTGCCTCTCATACATGGCTGGAAACTTTTGGGGGAACTTGAGGGTCTGCTGAATCAAATGAGGAAGGCTTAGATCTGGATTTGTTGAGTTAGTATAGCGCTGGGGTGTTATCTGTGAGTGCCTTGTGTGGGGCCTGGATGAGGTTGGTTGATCTATTTGGAAATGTCTTTTGTGTGAAGTGTGTCATTGGGCATGTGGAGGTATTATTGATTTGAGAAAATGCTAAGTAACTGATTTACTATCTGAAAAATTTAAAGTTCTGAAAGTTTAAGGTCTCTTGCGAAAAAGAGGTTTTAAAGCTAACACCTTAATTTTAATGGAGAAAGGGAATGACAAGCCCTTCCCACCCAGAACAGGTAATCCAATTCCAACCAGCAGCTATGTTTATTTTTTTTAATATATTTTTTTTATTGATTTTGTACAGAGAGGAAGGGAGAGAGAGATAGAGAGTTAGAAACATCAATGAGAGAGTCATCGATCAGCTGCCTCTTACACACCCCCTACTGGGGATATGCCCGCAACCAAGGTACATGCCCTTGACCCCGGAATTGAACCTGGGACCCTGCAGTCCCCAAGCTGACGCTCTATCCATGGAGCCAAACTGGTCTCAGCTCCAATTCCAACCAGCAGCTATGTTTAAACAATGTGTCCATTTACACTTGAATGGCTACACCTTTTGATAGCCTAAGGGCAAGTTTACATGTAAACAAGTTTGCTCTCAATTCCCAGGGCAGAAAAAAACAAGGTTTAAAATTATTAGATTTTAAAATTTATTCTTAGAAGTGTAAAAGTTTATTAATTAAAACAACAACAACAATAACAACAACAAAAAAGGAGATTGAAAAACCTAATGAACAATAATAGCGGTTCATTGTAGTAGAGTCGGTGATATGGGAGGGGAATGGACTGACAGTTCTCTGGGAAAGGGAGGGAGGAAGAGACTGAACATAAACTGTGCACCTATGGATGAGGACAATAGGGGGTGGGGAGGGGGCGAAGGGTGGGTTGGGAACTGGTGGAAGGGGAAAGAAATGAGGAACCTTTGTAATAATATGAACAATAAAGATTGTTTTCTAAAAAAATTAATTAAAAAAATAAATATGTAAAGTTGTAGACTTGTAATATTTATGTCGGTGAAATTACCAGTTTTTTTTTCTAACAGGAAAAAATACATTTTAATAATTGTGCAATGAGAAACTGCTTACATACACATTACAGTCAAATATTTGGAGTTAAGGTGTAGGTCACATAAATGCGTGATTGTAACTTCATTTCCATTAAGATATTTCAAATTGTCCCTGCTGGCATGGCTCAAAGGTTGAACATTGACTTAAGAACCAGGAGGTCATCAGTTGGATTCCTGGTCAGGTCACATACCTGGGTTGTGGGCTCAATCCCCAGTTGGGGGCACGTAAGAGGCAACTAATCAATGATTCTCTCTCATCGTTGATGTTTCTCTCTCTCCCTCTCTCTTTTTTCTCTGAAATCAATCAAAATATATTTAACAACAAAAACAAACAAACAAACAAAAAACGACTTCAAATTGCATTCGTGTACACAATTGCTTCTGTGTACACATAATGAAAAATGGGTAACATACTGAAGACTGACCTTCCCTTAAGTCTGCTCAGTTTAATTACCAGTGTTTTTTTCCAACACATGGTTGGGTGGCTCAGTGGTTTGATCGTGGACTTATGCACCAGGAGTTCTGGTTGGATTTTCGGTCAGGGCAAATCCCTGAATTGCAGGCTCATTCCTCAGTAGGAAGCATGCAGGAGGCAGCTGATAGATGATTCTCTCTCATCATTGATGTTTCTATCTCTCTCCCCCTCTTCTTTCTTTCTTCTTTTTTAAAATATATTTTATACAGAAAGGCAGGGAGAGAGATGGAGAGGTAGAAACATCAATCAGCTGCCTCTTGCACACCCCCTATTGGGGATGTGCCCGCAACCAAGGTACATGCCCTTGATCGGAATAGAACCTGGGACCCTTCAGTTCGTGGGCTGATGCTCTATCCACTGAGCCAAACTGGTTTCTTCTCCCTCTCTTCTTTCCTCTCTGAAATCAATTTTTTAAAAAGAGGTAAAGTGAGAGAGGGGCATTTAAGGCCATTGCACACTTATAGCTGCTTCAAAAACATTTTGGAACAAGATAGAATAAACACTGATCAAGAGATAGTAAGTATAAACACCGTAGACAATACGAATCCTCTAGTCATGTAACAGGAAAATAAATACTGTAATTCTACAAATTATGGTATCCCCTAATTCAACTTCACTTTTGATGCAAGACCTCTGTCAAACGTATTAAAAAAGTCAGGAGGCATTGTCTGGAAATAAACAATAAAGATTTATTCAAGATCTCAGTGTTTACAAACTGTAAACACAATTAGGCAAAAACTTAGAAGTGTTCCAAAGAAGAAAAAAAGTTAAGAGTTTTTACAGTAAAAAGAACATTCTTGAGAATTATCAGTTTTGTTTTGTTTTTTTTCAATTTTGAAGAACTCAGTTTATTAACTGACCAGATTACAAAAATAACCATGGTAGATACCTTAGTTTATCCTTCTCATAAGCCTGTTGATCTTCCCTGTTGCCAGCATCTCCACCTTCTACGAAATGGGTGATCCTCTTCTTCCCACCCCGGGGAGAGGATAACTTGGAGGGCCACAGGAAGTTGTGAAGTTGTTCACTTCTTTGAAGTGCTTTCCAACAGTGTAGATCTCATGGATCAGATCTCCCATGCAGATGATGCTATATTTACAAATTTTTGTTGATTTTGCCATAACCTCGCTTGTAGATCAATTCATTTACTGACTTCAGATTTGGGTACCTCCAAGCAATGTAAGGCTCCACAATCCTCAGCATGTTGATGGAGGCCTTGTTGAGCTTAACAAAGGTGCCGTTGAAGATCTGGCGAAGGCGAAGAAGCTTCAGCACCTTTCGGACCTTCGGGCTCACACCATTGATACCTCTGATCCTGATGACAAATGCCAATTTGGGTTCGGCAGGTACGTAGAAGTTGCCAGCTTTTCATGCCATCCTAGCCATCCGAATCTCCGTCCTGTACATCTGCCTGAACTCCTTGTGATAGTGCTTCGCTTTCTCCTAGATGAGCTTCCTTCTTGCCTTTCGAAGCATCTTTTGGGCAAACTTCTTTCTCAGGCGCTTGATCTTCCTGCAAAATTCCTTCGCTTTCTCTTGAGGGTTTCTGGCACAGCAGGAACCTTCTTCTTTTTTAATATATATTTTATTGATTTTTTACAGAGAGGAAGAGAGGGATGGAGAGAAACATTGATGAGAGAGAAATATCGATCAGCTGCCTCTTGCAAACCTCCTACTGGGGATGTGCTCGCAACCAAGGTACATGCCCTTGACTGGAATCGAACCTGGGACCCTTCAGTCCGCAGGCTGACGCTCCATCCACTGAGCCAAACCGGTTTCGGCAGCAGGAACCTTCTTCTTCTCTTCTGCACCCTCCATAGTTCCAACCAGAAAAGAGGAAGGTGGCACATGTGCCCGGTTTTGTATTTTTAAAATATATATATTTTATTGATTTTTTACAAAGAGGAAGGGAGAGAGATAGAGAGTTAGAAACATCGATGAGAGTCATCGACCAGCTGCCTCTTACACACCCCTTCTTGGGGATGTGTCCGCAACCAAGGTACATGCGGAATCAAACCAGGGACCCTTCAGTTCACAGGCCGATGCTCTATCCACTGAACCAAACCGGTTTTGGCTATCAGTTTTGTATTTTATTTTATTTATTTATTTATTTATTTATTTATTTTATTTATTTTGACCCAGACAAATACGTTTATTTCACAAACACTGGGGAGACAGGCTGGGGTGGCAGTGGGACACGGGCACAGTCACCAGCAGCCCACTCCCCACCACAGGATCCAGCCAGGCAGTGCCTCCAAGTCGCCAGGCAGCAAGAAGTGAGTGCAGGGAGGGCCCGGAATGGCCAAACCCTGTGAAAGGGGCACAGCTCCAGCTGCCCCGGGAGAACCACGGCCCCACCCACACAGACCGTCTAGTCACCCATCTTCACTCTGGAGGTCTGTAGGATCGCAACGATGACCCCAAAGAGGCCGATGGCGCTGCCAAAGATCTCCACGATAAGAATCTTCACGAAGAGGCTGGGGTTCTGTGCATCGGCCAGGGCGGCTCCACTGCCCACAATGCCCACGCAGACTCCACAGAAGAGGTTAGACAGGCCCACCGTGAGGCCAGCTCCGAACACGGAGTAGCCTGCATGATAGTTTCGATGGCCGATGGCTTTGGGGTCCGTGGCACTGAAAGGCTCAGCCATGTTGCTGAGGACAATTGCCATGATGATGCCATAGATAGCCACAGCCTCACAGAAGATGATGCTGACCAGGTTCTTGGTCTTGATCCGAGGGGCCTTCACCCCTCCCCCAATGATGGATGAGCCAGTAATATAGATGCCCCACGCTGCCCCAACTACAGACAGGGAGATAGCTAAGCCAATGCCCAGGTTTGACCACATGAAAGGGGAAGTCTCTGTCAAGAACCATGCCACATCAAAGCGGAAGCCCAAGTCAAAAATGGTGTAGCAGATCCCCACGCCGATCATGCAGGCCCAGAAGGCCACGAAGACTCCGGCGTAGAGGAGAGCTAGCCCCGTCATGGCGGCGGTGACAGCGGGGCACGGGTCGGTGGAGACAGAGCTGAAACCGCGACCCTGCATCCACCGTCTGCCCCGCAGTCAGTCCGCCACCAGTTTTGTATTTTAAACCCTGGGCTTATCAGGATGGTTATCAGTCATATGTCAGGTGGTCTGGAAGATGGGAGCCAGGAAGTCTGGTCAGGTCCAGTGGTCTAGATATTAGCTGGTCTGGTTATGTGGGTAGTCAGAGGGTTACCTGGAGGTCTGGTGTGTGTCCAGATATATCCAGGCATTGACACAGGGCTGGAAAGTTCAAAGGGTCACAGGCTAGTTGGAACAAGAATAGAGTCTTTCCTCATGCCTCAAACTTCATAATATTAATAATTTTAGCAGCTTGGTTAAAGTGACTCTATTTCATATATTTCCCATCTTCACTCTTTCATTTCTACTGCTTACTGCATGAACTAGTTATGCATTCTGGTGCCAAGTTCTTTATAGGGAATCTTTGTTTGCAATTATGTTCCATCATTATCTCAGGTTTGCATTCCTTGCCTTTCCTCCAGAACAACAACAACCTCCCTGGAAGCTGAAAGCTCCTCTCACTCCACTCCAGCCTCACTCACCCTCTTACTAGAACACTAGTGGCCCCGTGCATGAAATTCATTTACATTAAAAGGGGATTAATTAGCCGAAACCGGTTTGGCTCAGTGGTAGAGCATCGGTCTGCAGACTGAAAAGGTCCAGGTTCGATTCCAGTCAGGGGCATGTACGTTGGTTGCGGGCACATCCCCGGTAGGGTGTGCAGGAGGCAGCTGACCGATGTTTCTAACTCTCTTATCTGATGTTTCTAACTCTCTATCCCTCTACCTTCCTCTCTGTAAAAAATCAATAAAATATATTAAAAAAACAAATTAAAAATTTAAAAATGCATAAATAAATAAAAATTTTAACATGAAAACATATGTCTCACTCTGCTAGGAATCAAATAATTTCATTGGTTCAGGAAAAAAAAAAAAGAGAGAGAGAGAAAACCAAGGGAGTAAGGGTAGGCAAACAGTCCTGGCATGGATGATGCTTCTCATTCCGTTTCCTGCAAAGTATCTGTCTCCGTCACAGTTTGCACAGGACCCAGAGAGGCGGGGTGTGGGGCTGACTGGTTGTTTAACCCGCAGGTTGGCGCGGTAAACCACCTGGGAGAGAGGCCTTTCCCTAGGAGCGCAGGGCGGCGGCTTCGCAGGGGGCGGAGTCGGGGGCGGGGCGTCCCGAGGTCCCGCCCCCGCCCGCGCCCGCGCCCGCGCACGCCGGTGACGTCTCCGCGCGCCAGCACTCGAGGAGCTCTGTGGACAGGAGAACCGCTTCCACGTGCGTATGGCTCGCGCGCGCCGTAGGGGTACCCCTGCTTGCTGCACCCCATCACGACCCTCCCAGGCCTGATTGTCCCCACCGAGCCGAGCTGCGTCTGGGCAGACAACAGATACAGGCGTCTGTTGGACGCCGGGCTAAAGGGACTCCACGTGAACTCATGCCCTCTCCCTACAACAGAAACACTAAGGGGACCAGATCGTCCCGCTTTTGGCGGGACAGTCCCGATTGTCAGCAATTTTCCCCGCAGCGTTTTTTCCAAAAATCGGGACTTCTTTTTTTTTTTAAACACCGCGGGACAAATTGTTAGGAATCGGGACTGTCTCGCCGAAAGCGGGAGGATCCGGTCCCCTTAAGAAACACACCTGCCGAAACCGGTTTGGCTCAGTGGATAGAGCCTTGGCCTGCGGATTGAAAGGTCCGGGTTTGATTCCGGTTAAGGGCAAGTACCTTGGTTGCGGGCGCGTCCTCGGTGGGGGGTGTGCAGGAGGCAGCTGATCCATGTTTCTGGCTCTCTATCCCTCTCCCTTCCTCTCTGTAAGAAATCAATAAAATATATAAAATAAAATAAAAGAAAGAAACGCACACCTGCCGACCCCCTACTTTGTGCCAGGCAGTATGCTAGTTGTTGGCACATCCCTGATGTAAGCAGCTCCGTCCTCGGCTTCTGTTTCACTAGGACGACAATCAAGTAGTGTAATAAATTCCTGTTAGGGAGTTAGGGTATGGTCCTGGTGAGGGGTCCGACATCAGAAAGGGTGATTGATCAGCACGGGGTGGAAGGGGGAATCAGTACTGATTTGGCAGACGCACCCTTTACCAAAATGAGGCCTGAAAGAGGGGGGTGGAGGGGGATAGTGGTGAGTGGTGGAAATCGTGTTCAGTCCGTCGACAAGTTTTATTTAAAAATTTTTTAAATTTGTCCTCACTTGATCTTTAGAGAGAGCGGAAGAGGGGGGGAAAGAGAGATATAAGTCACTTTCCCATGCACCCTCAGGGCAGAATCATACTTGAAATCGGCTACTTGTCCTTGACTGGGAATGGAATCCGAGTCCCTAAGTGCAGCCCGCTCTAACCAGTTAACCCAGTTAACCTACACGGGCCTCAGCTACAAGTTTTCAATTTTTTTTCCTTTTTTTTTTTTTTTAAATCCTCACCGAATCCCATTGATTTTATATATATATATATATATATATATATATATATATATATATATATATATATATATATATATAAATATTTTATAGAGAGTGGAAGGGAGGGGGAGAGAGAAACATCATGTGAGAGACACATTGGTTGCCTCCATATGGGCCCTGATCAGGGCCAGGTATTGAACTGAGGTATGCGCCCTTGCTTGGGAAGCATACCTCAGAGCCTTGGGTCCATGGGCTAATGCTCTAACCACTGAGAAACTGGCCAGGATGATTATTCATTTTCTTTTTAAGCCCTAGTATTGTCTAAGCCTTGGTAATCCAGTGTGTTTACAAATGAAGAAAGAACAGCTACAGTCCATGCCCACATGGAGATTTTGTTCTAATGGGGAAGGTAGAGTTAAAAAAATGTCAGCCATAGTGTTACAGAAAACCGGAATAAGTCAAACAGTGCTCGGAGAGTTTGGAATCACACTATTCACCAGTGGGCTCAGAGAAAAATGAATTCAAATTCTAAGCAAAGCCTCAAGCAGAACTTTCCTTTTTATTAAAGAAATAGCCCTGCCCAAAACCGGTTTGGCTCAGCGGTAGAGCATCGGTCTGCGGACTGAAAGGTCCCAGGTTCGATTCGGGCCAGAGGCATGTACATTGGTTGCGGGCACATCCCTGATAGGGGATGTGCAAGAGGCAGCTGGTCGATGTTTCTCTCTCATCGATGTTTCTGGCTCTCTATCTCTCTCCCTTCCTCTCTGTAAAAAATCAATAAAATATATTTTTTTTAAAAAAGAAAAGAAAAGAAATAGCCCTATGTGTGCTTAGTGGTTATCTCAATGGTGGTGGCCTTGAAAACAGTTCTATCCAATTAAAAAGTACATCTGGCATGGCATGAGAGTATGTGCGTATCTAGTTTCTGGCCTACAAGGTCAGACAGCTAAGTTTATCTTTCTTATTATTCAAGCAGGCTAGAAAGCAAAGTTATTTTTTTTAGAATAAGAGACTGCCTTAAAAAATAGAGAATTTCAAACAGTTTTACAAAATAGGGGTTGACCTCATAAGTCCTATATAGGAAATTAAAATAGGGCCTCTGATGGTGACTACTTCAGCACGGTTTGTCAAAGACATCCATTCCAAGAAAGTGAATTTCTCCTGAAGTCTAAATAGTAAGGAGCTGGCCATGCAAATACATTATCAGGGTGAGAAAAATGCCTACAGAACTGACCTTGGAGAGTTAGGGGAATAGAAGAGAAGCCAGTGTTGATACATTGTGAAGGAGAGTTTCTAAGAACTTACCTGGGACCCAGCAAAGGACAGGTGCACAGGGACCAAGTGTCAAGGATGTATCTACACCCAGGTCCCAGATCACCAAAGCCCGCATTTTGCAGAATTAGAACCCCCGTGGTTACATTTCCAGGTTACCTTGTTTCTCTGAATGCCCCTTTCACTTTCCCCATCAATCCTTAATGCCTCCAAAGCCTCAGCTGTCCTTAAACCTGGAAATAGCTTCAGCATTTAAGCTACAGTTAGTTTTTGTTTTTTTTTGTTTTTTTTTTTTAGGAACCTAACTCGTCTCTCCAGCAAGGGACATCTGCAGAGATGTCCTCAGTCCTTCACTTCTACGTCCGTCCCTCTGGCCATGAAGATGCAGCGGCCGGCCACACTCGAAGGAAGCTGCAAGGGAAACTGCCAGAGCTGCAGAGCGTGAAGACCGAGCTGTGCTACAACGTGAACTGGACAGGTGGGACCACGTATTGGATTCTTGAGGGGGTACCCCAGTGCCCCGGCAGGGACTCAAAGATCCTTACCCTGTCTCTCTGCAGCTGAGTCCCCCCCAAGTGCTGAGGAGATGAAGAAGCTGATATGGCTGTTTGGCTGCCCCCTGTTACTAGATGATGTCTCTCAGGAGTCCTGGCTCCGTCCTGGCTCGAGTGACCTGCTGCTGGAGGTTGGGCCCAGGCAGGTGTCTCCCCTGGGGCAACGCCTTCCATGTTCAGGCACATGATTTCTTTGAAACATACTGTCCACCTCTCCCACTTCCGTTCCTTTGCTTCTTCTTGTGATCCTCAGGAGATTTGTTTTTCCTTTGCTCCATCCTATTCCCTTCCTCGAAAACCATGCTTAGTAGTATGCCTTCTATATGGAAAGATGTCTTCCAAGACTGAGCCAGCTCCCCAGCATGCTCTGGAAATGAAACGGATTGAGTTCTGAGAAATCGAAAGCAAAGCATTTTGATGCAGAAAGGACAATTATGGTTTTCTTTGAGTGACCTTGGGAAAACAGTTTTATCAGTGCCCTGGTCTGAAGCTGGAGGCCGTTGGTGGGGGTAGTAGAGGTGGGAGACTTGCTGGACAGCAGCGGGAAGGGCCTGTCTTCTCCGCTGGGGCTCTCTGCTCCTAACCGTGACCCCCTCCTCAGGCTGAACTTCTCCACTCCGACGTCCACCAACATCGTGTCGGTGTGCCGGGCCGCTGGGCTGGGGGCTGGGGACCGCGTGGAGATTACCCGGCGCTACCTGCTCTCGGTGAGGTGGAAGGCCATCAGTTTGGGGGGTCAGGAGGAGGAGAGGGGTCA